AACTACTTCATTCAATGCCAATTATAGAGATTCTGGAACCAGAATTACTGAGTTTGAATCCAGGCTCTGCTACGGCTGGGCTTCTCTGAGCTTCGGTTTCCTTATCTATAAAATGAGGATGATAACTTAATTATACCTAACTGTTGTGAGGGTTAAGAAGTTCATATATATTTAAAGCACTTTAGAACATTGCCTGGAACACAGTACATACTATATGTGTTTGCAATTACTATTATAGCAGTCAACAATCCCTCAGGCCTGATGCTAAACACCAAAAGACACAAAAACCAAAACTTTTTTCTGTAACTTACTTGGCAGGCAAATCTGACCTGAACAAATGCAAGGCTATTTATAGTCTTTATATATGACACTGGGTGTGAATATATATATACATATATATATATATATATATATATATATATATATATATATACATGCACATGCATTTTGCTGCAGATATTTTCATGTGTTTGATTATAGGATGCCGCCCCAGACTTCACTGGGATGTATTTATCAACTTCCTAAAATCTGAAAAATTCTAAATACTGAAACACATCCAGCCCCACAGGTTTTGGATAAGATTATGGACCTATATTACCTTCGGAGCCTGAATAATTTCTATTTCCTTAAAATGATTGCTATCTCCTGAAATAACTATAAGCAAATAACACCCTGAGCCTAATAGTAGAGAATTTTAGGATGAAGAAAACATTTCCCAGTAGAGTTAGAAGGGTCCCACATTCCCAGAATGTTCCTTTCAAAAAAAAATGCATTTATAATATTTAATGTGCATGTCATAGTAGTTGGATTTTTCAAACTCTAAATTCTAGGGCTTGCTTAAACGAGGCCTATTCTCTTAGCTTAGGTCCCAAATAAATGATGAAGGCTCTTTGTGGGGGCATTCATGTGCCCTGAATCATGCATACGAAATCATTGCAGAATGTTAGAGTTGGAAGAGACCCTTGAGGACTAATCTAAACTATTCTTCCTTTCCTCCCAAACTGTTTAACTTCCATAAGTTGACTCTCCCCTATGAGGTAAGAATAACCTGCTCTAACTTGCCTGTATACTCTGGCTATAGGAACACCCTGCAGGCGAATGTGAATAAACCGGGTGGGGTACACGACAGACTTGGGATCTCAAAGGATGACTTGAACCTAGCACAATAAATCTCCCATGTTTGGCAAATATCTCAGCTTATACTTTAGAAAATAACAAGAATGTCCAAGTCTGGAATGAAGGAAGATTCACCTAGCAAATGTTATTAAAAAAAAAAAAAAGACTTAGCTATGTTAATGGACTCAATGAGTCAATAACGTAATAAGGTGGCTGCCAAAAAAGCTACTCTGATTAGCAGTAGCTACATCAACAGCAGTGTAGCCTCCAGAAAGAACGAGGTCACTGTCCTCTCCACTACAGCCAGTTGGAGCACATCTGGAGTATTATGTTCAGCCCTGTGTTCCACACTTTAGGAGAGACACAGAAAGATTGAGCAAGTCCAGAAGACGGGTGACCGGGATACTGAGGGAACTTGAAACCACGTCACATAAAGAACAGTTGAGGGAGCAGAAGTTACGTAGTCCAGACTCAGAGGGGACGTGATCACTGTCCCCAAATCCCTAAAGAATTGTCATGGCACAGGGAGAGCAGGCTTATTCTGCAGGGCCCCCAAGGGCAAAGCCAGAACCAGTCGGTGTTAACTACAGGGAGAAATAGTTCAGCCACATCTAGTATTTCCTAAAATGTAGAGCCATGTTAGGAGGTACTGGATTTTAAAGTCCCATCTAGCCCGAAAGGTCCATTTCTTTTTCTGCTGTGCCCCCATTCAGTCTTGAATGCCACAATCAGACAGACAGAAAGCGCAAGGACCCTTTTGTTTTGCATCTGCACTAGAACCTTCGCAGCAGACACTAACTGCTCCAGGTCTGTGCAATAGATGTATGAAAGGCCCATACTTTTAATAATCAAACATTTGTCATCACCTCAGTCTCTTACTGCTAATAATTATTATTCTCTGGTATCACAGCCTCTCCCTTCACCCTTCTTAAAATGTCCTACCCAGTCGACCAATCAGCCAAACATTTTGCCAGGTCTCTGGGAGGAAAGTGCCTGCTTGCTGGGCAATTAGTTTCAGTTTGCGATCAGTGTCTCTGTAAATAAAAGAGGGCCTTAATTGAGAGGCAGGCAAGAGCTCTCAGCTAGACCTCCATGAAAGAAATTCGTATTAATTCAAAGAGCAGCTAGAAGGCCCATCCAATAACACATTATCGATGGCACTCAGTCCTTAGAAGAACACTAAAACACCCTATATAACCATCCTCCCAAATGCCGCCTCCCAAATACCAGAGAATCCAACATTGCAAGCCAATCTAGGTCTCTTAAATTCAGGTAGAAGTTTTCCTTGGGCCAGAGAGATGTGTTTACTGTTTGAAGTAAACTAGAACCCACGCTCAGATAAAAAGGCCACACCTGATTACATATCACTGTAAATCTAAAACTGCCTATTAATACACCCTGTCAGTTCAGCTGCTGAGAACTAGACACAGGCAGTCCACAGTGAATTCACAGAGAAGTACGAGCTATAGAAAATTTAAAACACAGAGTTACTGAAGTGGGACATCCTCCTAACACTTTTGTCACCCAGACCACCATAGACACAGGTAAATGGCAGTCCATGAAAATCCTGGAATGGTTCATACGGCAAATATTAATCAATCCAGCTTTGCTTCATTTAAAACTGTTTTGGAGTCTATAAAACTCCAGCCAAACTTTTAGAGAATATAATATACACATGATGGACTTAACAAGAACACACTCTTCTCTGCGCTTTTTAAAGTGAAGACCAGAAGCAATCTAAGTGTCCATAAATAAGGGATTGGTTAAATAACTTATGATACATCCTTACAATGAAAACTGCAACTGTTAAAAAAAAAATAAGGTAGACTTTAGGTGCTAACATGGAAAAAAGTTCATGATACATAGTTAAGTGAATATAGCAAGTTGCAAACAAGATGTATAGAATTATTTCAATTTCAGTTTTTAAAAACTTTTTTTAAAAAAACCTGTGTGTATGTTCATATATGCCCAGAAAAATGTCTGAAAAGAGATCAAACTATTAGGAGTAGTAACCTCTAGGGACTGACTGGAACCAGGAGGCAGTAAAGGAGTGACTTTCACTTTTTCCTTGGTAGACTTCTGGTTGTTTGGGTTTTCTGTTTGTTTGTTTGTTTTGTTTTTGCAAGCAATGGCTATTTTGTGATTTAAAAATAACAATACAAAAATAATAAAATTAAAATAACTTCAATTACAGACTTATTGATCATAAACTAGCCATTCAAAATAAGTGATCTTGCTAATTAAATGCTACTATGTGCTTCAAACTCTCAAAAACGAATTCATCTTGTTTCCATTATATTTTACTAAAACAAATAAAGGCTCTACTAGGTCCTCAGATGTTTTCTATCCCACAAAAGCAAAGCGTAGTCATAAAGATAGCTAACACACACGGTGCTTACTCTGTACCAGGAACTGTTTCTAAGCGCCATAAATGTATTAACTTACTGAATCTCCACAGCAATCCTATGAGGTAAGTACTATTATTATCTTCAATTCACAGATGAATAAAGGTTAAGCAACCTGCCCAAGATTACAGTTAATAAGGGGCAGAACTAGATTTCACACTCTCAACCACTGTGCTTCCTGTCTCAGTAACATGTCAATTTCTCCACAAGAAGGCCAAAAAAGGTTACAGTCAAACTCCAGCTCGTTAATACATTCCTTGAAGCTAGAAGAGATGAAAACTTAGCTTTTTGTGAATGAATAATCTGCATTCCTACTTATGTCGATGCTAAGCTCCAACCCAAGACTCCGGGCTGTATTAAGACTAATAATCATGTGGGGAAAATCTCTGCAGATTCAATTATAGTCCAAAGTCCACACTTGACTCCACAGTAAATCACTGAACCTAAGAATTAGGTCAGACCCATTCATGTAAGTACATCTGGGCGAATGGTATGGACAAACCTCCACCCCAACTCAAAGCAAAGGAATTCAGAAACTCTTGTCCCACATCTTGATGAGGAAAGTTTTTTATTCGTTCAGTTCCAGCCCCATTTTAGATCGAAACGGGGCGAGAACAGGCGTTGTCTTATTTTCTACATGCCCTCAAACAGAAATTGGCATTTATCAGTATCAGCAAAATCAAACATTCTAGCTTATGGGAGAAAGCAATGGGCACCCCCACTTAACCTATGTATTTGTCCAAACATACTGACCTTGTAATTGAGGAAGACAAAAAATGGTGCGAAGGAAGACATTTAACCTAATTTATAATTGTGCTCAACCTAGATACACACCTGTCCCAAATGACCTGAATCCACTTATTTTCCGGGGAAAACATGGATTACAACGTCTCTCTTTTGGGGGGAAGGATGGCGGGGTGCTCAGGTGGTCTGTACCACTGTTTGTAAACAAAATCCTCTCAATATCCCTTCCACCTGTCACATGCACCTCTGATATTTATACCAACAAGGGGAAACGAACAGGAAACCGGAGCTTTGGGAGGAACCCCTTATATTCAGCTTTTGACCCATTGGTTGAGGGAGGTACGGTGCTGGCTTTCCAACTTCCCCAAATAACCCAGGAGGAGAGGCAGGGCGAGCGAACAGGACCCAAAAGTTTGCGCCCACTCTGGGTCTCTGACAAAAGCCAGAAAGCCCTGTTTGGAAGGAGGTGCGTGCCTTCCACACAGCAGCTGCCCCCCGCCCGAGGAAGCACAGCGCCGGGGGGGGGACAAAAGGCTTTCCAGACTGGGGGGGGGGGATGGGGGGCAGGCTAGCTGGAGCTTGGACTTTCCCCTTGGGCGTCGATATCTGGGGAACCTTGGGGGCAAGAAATGATCTATTCCAGCCCGGAGCCCAGCCCCGGAGGGCCAGGGGCTGGAGGAAGGATGGGGAGCCTCTGGGGAGGGCTCTGCCAGGCGAGGACGCGCTGGGACTCACCTGGGGGAGGAGGAGTGGGGACCTCGGTGGCAGGTGGCGTGGGCGGGACGCTGCTGCTGCTGCTGCTGCTGCGGGGGAGACCGTGGGTCGGGGTCGGCGGAGTGGCGGGCGCCGGAACGGTGGTCGCCGAAGGGGTGGTCGGCGCCGGGCCAGCGGTCGTCGGGAGGGCGGTGGGCGCGGGTCCGGTCGTCGGCCGAGTGGCGGTCGGAGCGCGCTCCTCCGCCGGAAGAGTGGTCGGCGAGGGACCGAGAGGAGGCTGCGAGGAGGTCGGAGCGGGTCCGGCCGTCGCCCGAGGAGGGGTGGTCTCTGGAGACGGGGCTGAAGAGGACGCAGGAAGGGCTCTGTGGACAGTGGCGCGCGGGGCTCCGGTCTTCGGGGTCAGGGCCGTGGGAGCCGCTGCCTTAGAGAAAGGGGGAGTGGGCTCGCTCCCCAGCCTCGGGTCCGGCGACGCGTCCACCTGCCCTGCGGCCCCAGGGCCACCGGTGACATTCCTCGCGGAGGTTGCCGAGGCGGCGGCGGCTGCGGCGGCGGCGGCGCAACACAACAGGGCGAGGCCGCCCAGGCTTGGCAGGCTCTTCATGGCGCGCTCGGCTCCGCCATTCATTCATTCAGTCAGTCGGCCGGTCAGTCATCTTCTCCTCCCTGCACTCGGACCGGGGAAGCCGCCGCAACCGCCACCGCCACCGAGCGCCCCATCGCCACCTCCCTCTGACAGGCGGCCGGCCCCGCGGGCGGGCCCCAGCGCGGAGGGAGCGACCCGGCCGTGCGCGGACAGCCCGCCCTCCCCGATTGGCAGCCTCGTCCGACGAATGGGAGGCCACGCTGGCCCACGTGACCCACCGGCTCCCTGGCCTCTTTGTAGCTTCGCGGGCCAATCAGAGGACGTCGAAGGGAGGGGGCGGTGCCAAGGTGGGAGGAGGGTGGCGCGAGCCCCGCTTTAGCCGATCCGGCTCGCAGCAGCCCCGGCTTTGTCTGCCCAAGGAGCGGGGCGCGGGCCTCGGGCACCGGGCGCCGCGGAGCAGACAAAGGACGCGCCCCGCGCGGCAGACGCCGGGCCAAGTCGTCTGCTCCATTGGGCGGCGAGCGCGACCCGGGCGGGGAATCCGCTCTCGGGAGCTTCCCCGCCCTCCTGAACAATGGGGCGCCGGCGCCGCACCGGGGTGGGGACTGGGCTGGAACCCCCGCGATGGGCTAGGGCGGCAGCAGCGAGGCTACAGAGCTCAGCATTGCCTCAGCTGCCCGACAAAGTCTGCTCTCGGCCCTGCGAGGTCTGCGCTGCCGTTCCCATTTCAGAGATGGGGAAACTGAGGCGTTTGCTGAGGGCCTGATTGAACCAAGACCCACGCCTTCACCAGGGACCTGCAGTTGCCCAGGCGCTGTGCCAGGCAGGACAAGCGGTCTAGAGACCCATCACGAGCGGAAGGTGCAAACTTCCTGCGTTGAGGAGACAGGCTCACATGCACAGCACACTTTACCCGAAACCCCGGTGAAAATAGGACCGAGCGGGTTGGGACCTCAGCTTCTTGTCTCCTGCTGAGTGGTTTTGTGGCCTGAGCGCAGGTTTTCGCCTCTAAAAGGAGGACGTGACACGCCTAACCCACTCTGACCCCAACTTTCCCCCACCCCCAAAGCTGTTGTGAGAATTAGGTACTGAAAGGGCTTACCCCAGTGCCTGGCCCGCAGTAAACCCTTATTAATGCTAACTCCTCTCAGTGTACTGTGTTAAGACAAGCCCCATGCCACAGCCCTGCTGCGTCCCCAGAGCAGCCTGCCTATTGCAGGGATTGGGGTGTGTCTGATAGCGCAGCTTGACCCTGGGTGACACTAACCCCTGCATGAGGTTGGAATTCTGGCGCGCAGCCTCGCACCATCCGCCCAGGATGCAGCGCTTGCCCAGGCGCTGCATCCTCGGCTCAGCAGCTTTCCGAGGGAGCCAGGCGGGGCGGGTTTGTCATCTGACAGGGCTTAATCCCGGCCCCACCGCCAAGCCATTCCTGGCCCTCCGCTAAGTGATACTTGTGCATGGCTTCCCACTAGTCGCTGGCCTCCAACCAGAAAGGCAGGATGAGGTTTGCATGTGAACCTGTGTACATGTTAATGAAAAAAAATGCATTTACATGCAGGAGTAGCTAGTGGGGAGAGGATTCTTGTGTATGGAAGCATAAACATCTTTGTGTGCATATTAAATGTATTTGTGTGAGTTTATGAATGTGGGATCCAGTATCTATTTGTGTATGTGTTTTAAGTATCTGCCTGTGCACTGGTGTGTGTTTTACGTATATTTTCTGCGTGGTTTTGCATTTGTGAGTATCTATGGGTGTGTCTTGGTAGGTCTATGTATGATGTGGGTGGCCAGGCAAAATGAGAGAGGTGTGTGTGAGTATTTGGGTTTCATCCCAACATTTAGCAAACACAAATCAAGATCCTGTTTTTACCTCTCTTGGGGAAGGGGTTGAACAGATCATTCTCCTTCCCAATATTCTCTTGCTGATTCTTCCTCACCCTCAAACCCCAACCAAAATACCATATCCTCTAAGACTTCCCTGGATCTCTGAGCGGGAATTAATCTCTCCCCCATTTTCCCACTGCCCTTTGTTTATTCATTGATTAAAATCTTGATCTATCCATCTATCTCTCCCCTGCCTCTCCTAAAAGGATTAAGGGTGGCTTTCAGAAAGATACACAACAGGATAAATTGAACTGCCCACATGGCTTTATTATTTCTCACAGGCATGCACCCGCCTACAACTAGGAGGCTCTCTCTCTCCGCTCTCAGTGCCTAGCAGTACTAGGTAATACATGTGAGTGCTAATCCACGCTGGTTAAATTGAATTAAACTGAAAAGAAATCCTGTGGTGCCATGAGAAGAACTTGTATCTTTAGAGTCAGACAGATCTGGGTCATGACTCTGCCAGCGGTGTGACCTTGGAGAAAACCTTATGCCTCTCTGAGCCTCAGTTTCCTCATCTATAAAACGGGACCAACAAATTCTCTTATTTAATTGAGCTAAGGATGGCAGAGGATGTTTTTACACAGGCTTTACAGAAGGTGCTAGATCTGTGTAGGTTCATATTTCATTTATACCAGTGCTGACTTTGAGCTGTGTTGGCTGAAGGACCACAGCAGAAACCTTTGTCCCGTAACTTTCCCCATCAGGTGACATGTAGTTGCCCAACCAGATCTCCCCAAGTGTAGCTAAAAATGCTGGGTTGGCCCTCAGCTGTGCTGTATCAAAAATTCTCTGGCAGTAGGAGAGAGGAGCTGATGCAGCTTATTTGCCTGGAGAAAGACGAGACCTTGCCTAAGTGCTCCAGGCCAGTTCTCTGCCTCCGACAGGGATCCCCATGCTTCAAAGATGGACTAATTACCCTGTGATGTGTATAGAAATGTTGAAATTTTTTTGAAAGGCTATTTAAGTGTATTTAATGTTATTCATTCAGCATTGAATCCTTAAATTTCTTGCCCTGCTTTTATCTCTAAACCACAAGATGACTTTAAAAATTTCTTAAGAATAATACTTTCTTTGTGTTTAAAAATCAGACACACCTTAAATATCCAACGGCAGAGAAAGGTATTATATCCGTTCAATTTAATCATAGAAAGTCATTGTAAAGGTGGCTAAGAAGACGGTATAACACATAGTAATACTAAATCACTGAGCTCTTACTATGTGCTAAACATTATACTAAAAGCGACACATGAAATATTTTGTTTAATCCTAAAAAGAACTCCAGAAAGTAGGTACTATTATTATCCCTATTTCACAGAGAAGGAAACTAGGGCACAGATAGGTGCCCTAGGTCACTTACACAAGGTCACTTAGTAAGTGATGCAGCCTGAAATCAAACTGAGGCTGGCTGGCTCTAGTGGTTCCCTTAACAACTGTACTGTAAAGTGGAAATGCTTATGATATAATGTTAAGAAGAAAAGAGAAAATAAAAATTATAGCAGTGACTCTCTGGGTAACAGAATCCTGACTGGCACTTTTCCTGTGGCTCCAGGAGCTCTTAGCCCTGCAGCTAAGGCCCAGGGCTCTAAAGAGAGCTGTCAACCCACCCATGACACCTGGGGCGACAGGACTGAATGAGGGGGAAGCCACAGAACAGCAGGGGTCCGAGAGGGCGCTCTCAGAGTCAAGGAACAGCCTGACCATTCATTCTCCTGTAGATAATGCAGACACTATAAAAGGCCCCACCTGACTCACTTCTTTGTAGACTCAGCACCTAGAACAGTGTCAGGTGCACAGAAGTGGCCCAAGAATTGTTTTTTAGGTTAACTGGAGTCTTATGATGTGGTAGACACCGTTCCAGGAGTTTTGCATTCATAATGCATTTATTCCCCACAGGTACTGAAAAAAGGAATACATACATACACACCAAATTCAGCTCTCCTGCTGAAGCAGAATTGATGAAAGGAGAAGCTCTGGGAGTAGGAAAAGAAAAGAAGGTATAATCATATAAGAGATGTGGCTCAGAAAAACCACTTCAGCTCCCAGATGACAATAAAACACGGACACTTTCTCCTTTCTGGTTGCATTGAAACAGCAGTGCTGACATGAACTGTTTCTAATCCTGCTGGAGACTAGCCTCCTATCAGACGTGGCTAAATGCGTGGCTTGGCGTCATCTGCAGACAACTTTGGGATGATTGAGGTCACTATTAACAAAGTCTGTCCGACAAAGGACACGAACACAATTCACAAGTGGCTAAGAAACATGAAATACCTGTACTGTAGATTCAACTTCAGTAATCAAAGGTTTGCAAATCAAGACAATGAGTTACCATTTTTGTAACCTATTGATTTGGCAAGCATTTAAAACAACTGGTAATACTTGTTGGCAAGGGAGTGCCTCATACGGTTGATAGGAATGCAGTGATAGAGCCTTTCCAGCAAGCCTGAAAAGTATTTGTACTCTTTTGACTGATTATTTCCACTTTTAAGAATATCTCCAAGGGAAATAAATAATTAGATGTAAATAAATAAATATGTATGTACAACAATGTTCATCAGAATGTTATTGATAACAGTGAAAATTAGAAAAATCTAAACAGATAGCAATATGGGATAGGTTAAATACTTTGTGCTCTATGACTTCCCTCTGTTGAAATGCTAGATAGCTATAAAAAATGATATTCGTGAAGGAAATTCTTTGTGAAAAAGTAGGTTACCTCTGCACGCCTATTAGAATGGCCAAAATCTGGATGCTGACAACACCAAATGCTGACGAGGATGTAGAGCCACAGGAACTTGCATTCACTGCTGGTGGGAATGCAAAATATTGGGTTGTCGGAAAAGTGATGATGTATTTTTTCTATGTTTTTCGTTGCAAAAATGCGTCATGACTTTTCCGATAACCCACTAGTACAAGACGCTTTGGAAGACAGCTCAGTGGTTTCTTATAAAATGAAACATACTCTTACCATATGATCCAGCAATTGTGCTCTTTGGTATTTACCCAAAGGAGCTGCAAACGTGTCCACATAAAAACCTGCACAGAGATGTTTACAGCAGCTTTATTCATATTTGCCAAAGCTTGGAAGCAGCCAAGATGGCCTTCAGTAGCAAATGGATAAACAAACCGTGGTCCATCCAGGCAACGGAATATTATTCAGCACTAAAAAGAAATGAGCTATCAGAGCTATATGAAGAGACATGAAGGAACCTTAAATGCATATTACTGAGAGAAAAAAACAAGTTTGAAGAGGCTACATGCTGTATGATTACAATTATGCAACATTCTGAAAAAGGCAAAGTGATAAAGACAATAAAAATATCAGTTGTAGTCAGGTTT